TTAACAATTTGATGTAACTGTGATTTTTTCGTTTGGTTTTTTCTTGTGTTTTTTTTTTCTTTTTGGTCGCACACGCCCTCAACGAAGCGAATTCAAGAGAAATGCTTATCGTGCTTCAAAGAAATCCAGCAATACGAACGGCAACGGCAACAGCAGCGGCAACAAAACATGAAATTGAAAATGCCAAACGCTAAAAGACAACTAGACAGACCGTACCCAACCCTTCTCCTCCTTTACACTTTAAGAAACAGCTTCAGATACATAATTAAATTTAAAAAAAATTTTATAAATGATGCTATAGACACAAATTTCCGTGTAAAACCCGAGTTCGATTCCCATTGCCGCTCCTTCATGTTTTAAATAACTTAAGTTTATAAATTTTTATTAGTTTATAAAGAAAATTAATAAAAGTGCTTAAGAATGTTTTAGTTTAAGCATGATTTGTTAAATATTAAAGTACAGCACCTAATCACACTCATTTTTTTCCGTGCAGCGGATCAACAATGTAGAGCTTATAGTAAAACTGTAACGAAACCCGATTGAACCCGCCATGGGTGGCGGTGGTTTTGGCTTTGGCAACAACGGCGGACCTGAACCTGGGACATGGACAATAACATGTACGAAAAAATTTCATTGCTGGTGCTGGCCGGGGCTTTTTGCTCTATGGCCGAAACCACGATTCGGGCCAGCAAAAAAAAAAAAGGCAAAAATCTCTGTCAAAAATCGCTGGCGGGCAGCTGCGGGCCCAGCCCAAGCACATCCTCACGAGCAACAACACCAGCAACACGGCGGCAACAGCAGCAGCAACAACATCGACAACAGCGACAACAAAAGGCTGATACAAAAAAACAAAAAAAAAACGAAATAATTAATATGCCTCAAAAATATCCCGGCCAGCTTTTATGACAGCCAGCGGTCGAAGGGAGTATTGCAACTGCAACTGCAACTGAATCGGGATTGCAGCTGCACTTGGACGCTGGCCGGCGGCAGCAGCAGCAGCAGCAGTTTAACTAACGGCTTCTGTGCTTGTTGTGCTGCCGTTTCCGCATCTCGGTGTCGCCTCAGAATGTGCACGATTTTCCTTCAGATTCAATTTCAAGTGCAGCAATAACAACAAGGGGCAAGCGCCGCTATTAAGTCGACGACAACAACAAGCAATAACCCTAACCGATGGAGCCGCCGGCAGTGGTTCGCCAGCTCAGCCCGGCTGCCACTGTCTGCCGCTTCTTGCCGAGATTTCTATCTTTGATCTCTTACTCCACATGGAGCAGCAGCAACAGCAACAGCAACAGCAGCGGCAACTGCAACTGCAACGTGGAGCATTTGCCGCATTATGTGGCAGGGCAGCCGGTGCTGTCTGCTTGTTAAATTGCTCATTTAAACCATAACGAAATGGTCTGTGCCAGGGGACAGCTCCAGAGCATGTGCCTTCCTAGAACCAGCCCACTCAGAAAAACAAAAACCAGATCACTTTCAACTTGGCTGTAACATAAATACCCAACAAAGTGTCACAAAATCCTCAAGTGATTTAGTTAAAAGAGCTTTGAAAGTCTAACGGGTAGTATTTCAAAGCGGAGTAGAAGTTTTCTATGATGGAGATGTAAAAATATTGATATTTAAAAGTGAATTTCATATGGTTGTTTATATTACAACAATGTATTATTTATTATAATATAAATTTCTTTTTATATGTCCTTATATTCCAGAGGTTATACATTTCTACAACATAGGATTTCCGGTTTTCAGATCAGAAAACGGATGTCATTTCTAGTATGTTCTTCTCCTAAAACTAACCTTGTGTTTACAAATTTATTAAAAAAATGTTACATATTTGTTCGTTCAGTGGAGCCACTTGTCCCTCTCGTTCTCCTTGTAGATGGAACACCGCCATCGATGCGGCAGCCGTGCAAATTGCCCGGAGTCATGGGGCGACCAAGTTGCCAAAGGCATTTTTAATTAGCATGCAGCGGAAATTAGTTGAGTCCAATGCTAATGCCAATGAATGCAAGGCACTGGGAACCGAATAGATTTGTCGATTTGTCGGCCGCAGGCTGAGGAGTTGCATACCCCATCCACGTCAGATGTTAACATTTCTCGATTTGCGTCATAAGCCTGCGTCAACATAAATTACGGGCTGGGGAATTGGAATTTATCGGTGACATTGCGATAACGAGCATTGTGAAAAAGCGCTTAGAAAACGCGACAGCTTCTCAAGTGGCACGACACACGCAATTATATTTGATATTTTTATGGCATATGTATGTGCGTTTTGCCTGCTTTTCGCCAGCTTTTTGCTCGTTTTCGAGATCCCCCTGAAATGTTGACATAGAAAGCTGACAATAAGCGCCGACTTAAGAGCGTTTGTTACTTTTGTTTATAATGAAAGAATTTGTTCATAATTAACCAGATTGCCACGGATGGGATATCACTCCAATGACAGCTTAAATATGGCCAATTTCTCATAGATCTCTTAAGCTTACTTTGTTGCTTTCGTTTTTAGAGATAGAAAAAACCCCACTTGACTTGAGTTTTTCGCAGATGAATCTGCATCCCCCGAGGTGACATCGTTCGGTCTGGGGGGCACATGCCAAATTGGTGTCACAAAACCGAACCATAAATCAAGCAAATTATTATTATTATTATTGGCCAGCACATCTCGGACACATGTGAGCCACATATAGAGATATCTCCGAGCAACAGATCGTAGAACAAGCGCCGCGGATCAGATCTCTCGCTCACTCTTTTGATGGCTCTCTAGGAAAAGGCCATAAATCATGACAATACCCCAAAGCCGGCTCCACCACAGCCATCCTCCATGCTTCACTGGACAATCATAATAATCACAGCCGGCTGCCGCACCAGCAGCAGCAGCAGCAGGAAAAGCAGCAACAAAAGCTACTTACTATGTCTGCGTCAAGCCGATATGCAACTGATAAAAAGAAAAACTGTGTAGAAAATATACAAAAAATGAGACAAACCAAGTTGGCTAAATACCCTAAAGCCTGCACTGGGTATTGCATTTTGTGGCTGTTTTCAACTTTGAGGTTGCTACTCTTACTCAAGGTCTAAAAATGAAAAATCAAAACATTTATGGTTAAAAAGGGACTTGCTATTGAGAACCAACTATCCGATAGACATTTCCTTATACTTGGAAATTTTTAAATAATACAAAAGTAACCTTTTCTATTTAAAGGTTGTCGTGATAAGTTTTATTACACTTCGCTTATGAAAACATTCAAATGATTAATTCTTTTTTTATATTTTTTTAATTTTGAGCAATTGTCTATATGGAAATAGCTGAAAATCAGATTTAAAAAGTTTGTAAGTCAAATAAATAAAATTATTAATGTCTGGTTATTCATTTCCAATTATGTATTGTTAAGTTTAAAGGCTTTACTTTCCATTAATATTAATGAAATTGTCTTTAAACGACACTTTTTAAAGTAATTTCACTAGCATTACGTTTTTCAATAATATATAATCCAAGTTATAATCCAATGACATTACCATATGTATTATCTTGAATTAAGTAATAAATTCTGCAATCTAAATGTAAAAAAAATAACTAAAAAAGCTACTTTTATTGCTAGGTCAAGTTTAAACTTAATTTTTAATAAGACAAGGGCATTGAACCTTCGTTATGCCCCTCGAATTTATTTAGTTTTCCTTCGCATTGATTGTTTTCTTTGTTGTGGCTGCCGCCATCTCACTCGCTCCCCATCCTTCGGTGGCCAGCAAGCAGGAAAATTGACAATTGCGCACCTGCTTCATTTTCTTGTGCGGCTGCCGCCGAACGGCAAGCGGTCAACAACAATGCCACTGCCAATGCCGCGGTATCGTCTGGTTAATGGCATTTAACGGTCACCAAAATGCCCGCTGTGTAGCAGTAAACTTTCCCAAAAAAAACAATAATAATAATAAATAAATAGCAGAAAAAAAGCCAAAAGGAAAAACTATATATTTATGTGGCCATCGAAGGCTGGTTTACGGATAATTTTAAATACGGATACCAGAGTTACATTGTAGCCCCAACAATTTGCATAATGCTAGGGAAATATCCCTGGGCCGGCATAAATATTTCATAAATTGCATAAGCTGCGCATTTGCTCTAATTGTATGCTAATTCGGCCATGCCCCAAATAAATCAAAGCCAGTTGAGTGAGTTATGAGCGCGGATTTCTTAGGCTTTTGCAGCTGGTCCGCGGCATTGAAATTGCCATCGAATTCGGCATCCTTTGTTAAGGGGCCGGTCCTAATTAAAAACTGCTTATGGGGGCCTATCAAACGGCCATCACCGTTGGCCAATTAAGCTGGCCAACGGAGAAAATATACGAAATGAACCTGACCGCAAGATCAATGAGTCGTTGATGAAGTTGTTTTGATAACAACGGACTTTAATGCCCGGCCCTGCCTTAGAAAACGTGCGCAATTTATCTAAATCAGTGCAGCGAAAGCCCAAGAGCTCTCCCCCTTTTCGCCTTCCGACCTCGGCTTTGGCCACTTGACAATTGGCATTGGTATCTCTAAGACTGCTCCTTCTAACTTCGGGGCAACCTCGCAACGTGGAGATAAACATCATAAATGCATTGAAATGTCATTGCCAAGTTGTGCTATCAGTCGCGAGTGCAGCTACCAAAAACAGCCATCCGGCGATGGCGATAATAACCAGAAGTACATATAGTAATCCCGAATCGATGGGCACGGCCTCGTCCGAGGGATCTAATACCGTTACCCTTTATGCAATTACAAGTACGTGCAATTGCAGCGGAGCTTAATTAGAGGCACTGAAAAGCAGGAGCAGGCACTTGACTGCTCCGCTGACTGACTGACTGATGATTATTTATCACCGTCGTGAGTCGTGCGACAATGACACGAGATAGCCCGGAGAGTTGGCCCAAAAGCCAGCAGCATCGTTAGCAACATTTTGTCTGCCACCAGGCTGACTGACACAGGCTGCCTGCCCCTTGGCTTGCCATACTTGCCAACATACAGATGAACCAATGGACCAGTGGACAGAGGTACTGCTGGACGAATGGACCAGTGAACAGGGGGACAGATGGACCCGTGGACCCATGGACACCTGGATGGACTGGCAAAAAGACTGGACGACCGGGCACTCAATCTTTCAATTTGAGCTGCACTTCAATCAGTTCGGCTCGGTTCACTTCGGTTCAGCGTCATCATTTTGGGCTGACGTTCTGTGAGAACGAAATTAGTTTCCAATCAGAAGAAGCGCCTTGTTTACTGTCATTACACTGTAAATAATTTGTGATTTATAGGATTTTTTTTATGTGTGGAAGCGGTTGATTAGTTTGGATAAGATCACATAAAAGTATCGCAATAAAAATCAGTCAGCTCTTGTAAAAAATTAAGTGTTTTTTAGTGTGATTGCTACAGAAAGATAGATTCATCGACCTAAGCCAACTAAAATATCTCAAGTGACAGAATAAATGACAAATAAATTGTCAAGCTAATCAAGCAAACGTTCTCAATACACGGTTGTGGAAATATTTAATTATTTATTTAATGTGCATCAAAATCGAATTGGTTTCGCTGACGGTCCTAATATTAATTTTTCCAATTCCTCAAAATCAAATCCATTTGGTAACAGAAGTCGTAGTTATGTGGGTTACCTTCTTGGTGTTGCTCTGCGGATTTTTCTGTCGAACCGTTGAATGTAAGCGTGGTACGACTCCAACTATACATGTAAGACGTCTAACAAGGATAGGAGGATTCGATATCCTGCAGGGTAGCCAAGGTTAACCAGAATACATCAGAATTACTTAATCGTTAATTTCGCAGAGAGATGCCTATTTACACCCAGTTACGGAACGTGCAAAAAGTTCATCAAGGTTTTCGGCTACAACCTGATGACCAATAGATGCACCGAATACATCTACAGCGGATGCGGTGGGAATCCGAATCGGTTTGCCACTGATAGCCAATGTCGGAACACGTGTTTTGTGGTTCGAAAAAGGGTTACCGTTTCCGAACCGGACTATTATGAAGATGAAGACGCCACGGAAGCGATTCAAATAGATAAAAGAAAACTGAGCCGTTTACGGGGTATCGGTAGAATAAATGGCTAGATTTGGGTTTTTTACAAATCTATTACCTTAAATATGTCATATAATAAAAATAGGTATAATTCAGTTTACAGTATTGGGGCCAAATATGATTTAAAAAAGAATTATGATGGAGAAATAACAAAATAATCGTAACTTTACAATATATAGAAAATATTTCAGAACTCGAAAATAAACTTTATCCAATTACGTTATGCCCATTATAACTTATATCAACTTAAAGTAACTTATGGTAAATTAATTATAGTAAATATATTCTTAAACGATTTAATATTCAATTATTGAAATGATTTAATTTATTAAATAAGCTAGCTTTATTTAAGAAAAATATAAAGTGAAGTACTTTTTAGCAGCACACCTTCTGGCTTTTCGTTTGAAAAAAAAAATAAGATTATCTTAATCAAATCGGCTTCAGGAATTGATTTAATGACAAAGCCTAGGTTAATGCAGTTATTTATGGCTCTAAGTGCATTCATAAATTTGTACATTTTCAGGACCCCACCCCATGCCGATATCAACGATCAGCGTTGCGCTATATTAGTGCATGGCTAATGCCCAATTCCCAACCAATTTGTTCTATGCGGAAGTTGAGCGACCGCAAGTCGCGCATTCAATGCAGCGGAACTAAACCATTAACGCCTCAAAAGCGCACGATACTCGAACATTCTAATGACTTTATTATGAACAATGCAGGGCAGAGATACGAATACGGGGCAGCTAACACTATGTGGCACCATGTAGTCATAAGTTGTTGCAGTTGATGTTGATGTTGCTGCTGCTGCTGCTGCACCCACCCAAAAGTGACGTCAGGGTGCGGCGTAGTCATCGCAGATCGGTCGGCGGCTCTGGGCCTTTCAAGTGTGCAGTTAGCTGAAATGAATACCGAGCCAAATGCACAGACCGAACCCAAACCGAGATCAGGGCATGACAGTATATCAGTTGACGTTTCTCGGCTGGCGTTGACAATTATTTATGGTAATAAACAGTTCCGCTATAAGCCCGGCACTCTGCTCTTCTATCGCAGACACTAAATCCCAAGATCCGAAAATATTCAAAGCCCACATAATGCGCCTCTAATTGTTGCAAAGTCGATGTGTTACAATAACCATAAAACGTTACGATTTCCACAATTGAAACGATCACAGACAACGAGGGAAATAATAAAAAAATGTGCATCCAAAGGGGGGAGTGTACAATAGAAACGAACAGTTCTCAATTTGTAAGGCAACCAAAATTCGGTTTATTGTCAGGCAGCAATGGCGAAAAAATGGCAAAACAAATGGCCGGTGTCTCATTAATGCCACACAATGGTGGCAGCCAACGGCGTCCGAAATATGCAACATTCATCAATCACACAGCAAGCGAGCGGAGCTGACCTAAGCCGTTATACACTGGCAAAAAACAAATAATTTTAAATCCATTAAATATATCTTGTATTCGTCCTAATAAAAATTAATAAAGATAGTTGTTTTCTTATAAAAAGCTACACAAATAAGTTTAGTTGTCTTACAAATAAGTAGACTTCAAAGTAGTTTTTAAAACTCCTATTTAAAACAAACTTTAAAATAATTTAATGATATTTTAAGATGATTTTATTTTATTACAAAATTTCTAAATTAATTCTGAATAAAAAGCAAAAACAGATTTTTGAAATAATTGGTATCTTCATTATCCAAACAAATTTTAGGTTTATTATATATTAAGCTAAAAACTTTTTTAAAAACATATAATAAATATAAAAGAAATTATTATAGGTAATTTTTTTGTATCTTAATATTAGGATAATCTTTTAAAAGACACAAACAATTAATTATATCAATTTATAAGGGGAATTGAATATTTTTTTAGGTGTAAGCCGATCGGAGCGTGGCGCGCTCTGCTGGCCAGCGAATGAGAATGAGTTCACGCGCTGCACTTGAGGTCGAAAATGGACTGCGGACGGACGAGGGGCAGCCGACGGAACGACTGTGTGCGGATTGATTTGCTTGGCTCATTTTTATACCCTTGCAGAGGGTATTATAATTTTGGTCAAAAGTGTGCAACGCAGTGAAGGAGGCATCTCCGACCCTATAAAGTATATATATTCTTGATCAGGATCACCTCCTGAGTTGATATAGCCATGTCCGTCTGTCCGTCTGTCCGTCTGTCCGTCTGTCCGTCTGTCCGTCTGTCCGTCTGTCCGTCTGTCCGTCTGTCCGTCTGTCTGTTTCTACGCAAACTAGTCTCTCAGTTTTAAAGCTATCGAGTTGAAACTTTGCACACACCCTTCTTTCCTTTGCACGCAGTATATAAGTCGGAACGGCCGGGATCGGCCGACTATATCCTATAGCTGCCATATAACTGAACGATCGGAAATGCCATAACTCTGCTGTTTGTAAAGTTAGGAAGCTGGGATTTTCTATGTGTTTTATATTTGGCTAATCAATCCGACCTACCAAATTTCATAAGGATCGGCCGACTATATCCTATAGCTGCCATATAACTGATTGATCGGAAATGCAATAACTTTGGTGTTTGTAAAGTTAGGAAGTTTGGATTTTCTATGGGTTTTATATTTGGCCAATCAATCCGACCTACCAAATTTCATAAGGATCGGCCGACTATATCTTATAGCTGCCATATAACTGATTGATCGGAAATGCCATAACTTTGGTGTTTGTAAAGTTAGGAAGTTGGGATTTTCTATGGGTTTTATTTTTGCCCAATCAATTCGACATATTAAATTTCATAAGGATCGGCCGACTATATCCTATAGCTGCCATATAACTGATTGATCGGAAATGAAATAACTTTGGTGTTTTTAAAGTTAGGAAGGTGGGATTTTTTATGAGTATTAAAAATGCATCATATGAATAATTTTGGAGAATATAATTTGCAGAATATTCTGCAAGGGTATTTCAACTTCGGCTCCGCCCGAAGTTAGCTTTCCTTTCTTGTTATACCCTTGCAGAGGGTATTATAATTTTGGTCAAAAGTGTGCAACGCAGTGAAGGAGACATCTCCGACCCTATAAAGTATATATATTCTTGATCAGGATCACCTCCTGAGTTGATATAGCCATGTCCGTCTGTCCGTCTGTCCGTCTGTCCGTCTGTCCGTCGTCCGTCTGTCCGTCTGTCCGTCTGTCCGTCTGTCCGTCTGTCTGTTTCTACGCAAACTAGTCTCTCAGTTTTAAAGCTATCGAGTTGAAACTTTGACACACCTTCTTTCCTTTGCGCAGTATATAAGTCGGAACGGCCGGGATCGGCCGACTATATCCTATAGCTGCCATATAACTGAACGATCGGAAATGCCATAACTCTGCTGTTTGTAAAGTTAGGAAGCTGGGATTTTCTATGTGTTTTATATTTGGCTAATCAATCCGACCTACCAAATTTCATAAGGATCGGCCGACTATATCCTATAGCTGCCATATAACTGATTGATCGGAAATGCAATAACTTTGGTGTTTGTAAAGTTAGGAAGTTTGGATTTTCTATGGGTTTTATATTTGGCCAATCAATCCGACCTACCAAATTTCATAAGGATCGGCCGACTATATCTTATAGCTGCCATATAACTGATTGATCGGAAATGCCATAACTTTGGTGTTTGTAAAGTTAGGAAGTTGGGATTTTCTATGGGTTTTATTTTTGCCCAATCAATTCGACATATTAAATTTCATAAGGATCGGCCGACTATATCCTATAGCTGCCATATAACTGATTGATCGGAAATGAAATAACTTTGGTGTTTTTAAAGTTAGGAAGGTGGGATTTTTTATGAGTATTAAAAATGCATCATATGAATAATTTTGGAGAATATAATTTGCAGAATATTCTGCAAGGGTATTTCAACTTCGGCTCCGCCCGAAGTTAGCTTTCCTTTCTTGTTTTCAAGTCAATTACACATATTTGTGGCATTTGCGGCAATTGAGTATGAAAACTCATGCGGTGGGTCGTTGGACCAGTCGTAGGTGTTGGCCGTCTGTCTATTTTATTTGTTTGCGGCCAAGTTTATTTGCCTGTGTGCGAATGTGGCATGCCACAACAACTCGCCGCATGTGTCCGCCCACAAAATAGAGGTTTGGGGCTGACCAAGTGAGTCACGTTGGCAGTCGGGCGAGCCATAGAGATATGTAGCCATAACTCATGTCCCAGTCATTGCACAACGATCACGGACGAAACGGTCACCAAGGGGTTAAGCGCTGCCGCTTATCAAAACAGATGATGGACGAAGCTTTGGGCCAGTCAATCTTAAACGAAGCTTTAACTCGAAACAAAGGTACTTACTCCTGGGAAAATAATAAAATGTAACTTTCTAATGGGTGAAATGAAAATTAGTTTCTAAAGAAAATTTGTGTTGTATTATTTTGTCTTGTTTACAATGAATTTCCAAAAAATCAAGTTTTCCCTGTTTCATGTTCCGTATAGTTGTAACCAAGTGGGTCACCAAGGTGTTAACCGCTGGCTCTTATCAAAACAGCTGATGGGGAAAGCTTAACTCAGCCAAACAAAAAACTAAGCTTTAACCCACAACAAAGGTGTGATAAGAAAGCTCAACAGGGCGCATGCGTGATATTCGAAGAGCGAGCAAAATGCTAGCGAAAGCTCAGTAACAACAACAAGTGACGAGCTGAAGGGCGCCAGAGAAAGGGATTTCACAAAAAGTTACTCATATTTTGTTTACTACATGAGTAGTTACAATTGTAAGTTTTTTTCTGGTGTTCAGTGGATAGCCGGGAAACGACTACGTGAGAAATTTCAGTTGAGTTGGGTTTTTGAAATTTTGTAAGCACTGCGAAATATGAGCAGATAACTGTGGGAACTAGTCACATTTCGGCATAGGAAATTGTTCGCATAGCAAATGGGAAAGTCAAATAAATACTTTTTTGTTCACAAAATTATAAAGCATGAAAAGTATACAATTAATTTGAAACCTTATATGACTGTAAAAAGAGACATTTAAAATAAAATTTTTAAACAGGTTTTTAACCTTCCGTCGTTTTATTTCACCCAAGTGATATATACAAAGGCAAATAAAGGTTGGTGAATACTTCATTTAATATAAAATATTTTATAGAACCGGCTTTGTATA